GTTTTTATTATTATTTATTTCATATGACATAGCCTATTTCGGTTTTAAATCACTATCCGTTAAGCAGTATGGGTTGTTTTTTGATGATTTGGGGTATTTCGGTGCAACGGAGAGTGAACGCTGATGCACGGATTATAACGTTGTATGAGGGGGATATTTTCAAATCAAACATCTAGGAAGTGGGGGAGGATAAAGCTCTGGTTATCATCTGTCACTGCCTTTGACTTGTGCGTTTCTATTAAATAACCGCGTATTTTAGGTAAGCAATTAGAATAAAACCCGAAAGCCTTATTTGTGTGTATTCGCGTGTCGGTTTCGTTTCGAAAGATGTTTTGTTCCCCTTTAGCTGGCTGTGTAGTAAAGCGCGTTCGCGATGCACGCGCGGGACCTTCGGGTGAATGAATTCTGTGTGCGCGTACTCGTCGCCGCGTTCGGGAGGGGGCGGGGCCCGTTCGCGCGTGTCGCTGCAGAAACGGAGGGGAGACACAGCGCTCGGGCAGCTCTGACGTCAGAGAGAGAGAGAGAGAATTCCCGAGGTTAAGAGATGTTTATGCAGTGTTGCCAATTTAGCTACTTTGTAGCTAGATTTAGCGACTTCCCCGCCCCTTTTGAGACTTTTTTCAAAAGTTTAGGGACAAATATAGCAACTTCTTGGACAAACCTTATCCAAGTTCTCATCTTGCCCACTGATCTACGTTCATCTTTATATAGATCAGAGAATTTGCCATTGTGATGTCATCTAGTAACATTTAGCTACCAGTTTTAGCTACTTTCAATTGAAAGCAGTTGGCAACACTGTGTTTATGTCCAATCAAGTGAAGTGACATGTGACATGTGGCCAAGTATGGTGACCCATACTCGGAATTAGTGCTCTGCATTTACCCATCCAAAGTGCACACACACAGCAGTGAACACACACACACCGTGAACACACACCCGGAGCAGTGGGCAGCCATTTATGCTGCGGCGCCCGGGGAGCAGTTGGGGGTTCGGTGCCTTGCTCAAGGGCACCTCAGTCGTGGTATTGAAGGTGGGAGAGAGCGCTGTACATTCACTCCCCCCACCAACAATCCCTGCCGGTACGAGACTCGAACCCACAACCTTTGGGTTATGAGTCCGACTCTCTAACCATTAGGCCACAACTTCCCCCCAATGACTACACGTGAACTTTTGGTTTCTCTGAGGAAGTCAAGCCTGGATTTTTTTTGTTGTTGACCGCATCCCAGGCATGTCTGATACTTGACGAAATACTTGATACTTGATGTAAGTATGTAGCCTTCTTAGTTTGCGGTGACAACAATGAGGTCTATGTTTAGCTGAAAGAATGACATGTTTTTAAACACTAAGCAAGCTTCCACGTGGGCATGCCAGTCAAACTCCACTGCTTTGATATCTTCAGCATCTCTGCTGCACCAGGAATGAGATTCAGTGAGCTTACTTCATTTGTTCCACACAGTCACACTCTTTAATTCACAGAGAGCATTGTGTTTGCATTGTCTATCTTGTAGTGGTTCATTTGGCATGAATTAAAACAGACTGTTGTCTCCTGAAAATGTGAGCAGAGATAGAGTGCCCATGGCCAGTACCTTTGCTTTTCTGAGGAAAACATGTAATGTCAGGGAATTAAAGCCTTGAAAAAAAAAAAACTAAAAAGATTATTATTAGTGCTTTAAGAACAAACAAAAAAATTGTTTCCTCTGCTGATGCAAGTTTAAGCAAGATAATTGGACAGGCTTGCTTTATATATATATATATATATACACAGTGGGTACGGAAAGTATTCAGACCCCCTTAAATTTTTCACTCTTTGTTATATTGCAGCCATTTGCTAAAATCATTTAAGTTAATTTTTTTTCCTCATTAATGTACACACAGCACCCCATATTGACAGAAAAACACAGAATCGTTGACATTTTTGCAGATTTATTAAAAAAGAAAAACTGAAATATCACATGGTCCTAAGTATTCAGACCCTTTGGGGTTGTGTAGGGTTCATAAGGGGCCAGTCGTCCTCTCTGAAGCCCTAATTCAATCAGAACACCATTTAGCAAACACAGCTCCTTTTAAAACAAAACTGAGTCGCAATTGCAAGTTGCAAATGTGCCATTTTTACATTACATACAAGAAGCTAAAGTTAAACAGCTGACGTTATGTTACTGTAGCTTTTGTGAGTTGCTATTGCTATAGCTTATTGCTTGATCAGACACCTGAAACTGTTATTTATTTATTTATTTTGCAAGTAGTATTAGGGGGCGGGACATCTCATTCTAGAGAACATTTGATTGGATGAAAATCTGTGTAGTTCAGTCATGACCTGAACATGTTTTCTTTTTGCGTTTCTTTGTGTTGATTTTGAATTCAAATATGATAAAATGTGTTGCTTAGAATAATAAGATAAAAAGATAGTGAACTCGTCTTTGCTGGCTGAATGCAAAAACAAACATACAGAGCGCTCTGGCCAGTGTAGTCGATTCGTCAATGAATGACTCTTCTGATGTGTTGAACTTTGTGAATGACGGGTGTGCCAATGCGTTGTAGTTTCAAATTGCACACGAATCATCAGTATTTTTTGGTTTCTATAGAGAGACCGTTAGATGCATTTTTTTTATTTGATTTAAATGTCAGTTAAATGATGAATTAGGTATAGTAAAAGTGTTCGGTATTTTTGACAAGCCTTACGTGTAAAACTGGTTATTGATCAATAAAGATAAAAAGGGAAGGACTGGGTTGTTAAATTGTCAGAACATTGTTAAAGGAACAAATGCTGTCCGGGAACAACCAAGATTGTTTTTCATGATGCTGCTTGTTTCATGATGAAACACAATGCCGGTATCATTGCCTGGCAAAACCAAGCCTCGACATGCACATCTTGCTTGTCAAAATAATTCAGAGAGGCATTGTATTCACATTATATGCTGGGGTAAAACTTGATGTTGGGAAAGTGACGTCATTTTGCAGAGAAGCCAAAAGAGCGTCTGTGAAGCAAACATTCAAATAGTTTAACAGATAAAGACATCTCCTACATCATGCATAGTTTTGTTCATGGTTTTCAAGGATGAGGTCATGTCAAGCAACTTGTGACTCAAAAGTTTGACTATAGCAAGTGAAAGATGAATGTTGGACAAAATACCATCTAGTTTCATTGGATTTGACCCAGCGGGCACCTATGTGTTGAAAATACATCATATTGACATCAAACATTGGTCAAAAATGCAAATCAAACTGGCATCAAAAACCTCACGTCCATTTGACATCCACACACTGCTGTTCTTTCGACCACCAAAATAATGACACAAAAGCAATGCAATGAAAGAAAGGTTCTATTCGACAAACTTCAAATCAGTAATACAAATGTAAATTTAAAAAAGAAATGCACCTATTCTGACTGTGAACAAAGACCGCAGAACAACAGATGAATAATTACTGACATTAGTCCATATCACGATTTGAATTTGATTAGCTGTGCAGCGCTACTTTCTGATTGTTAAATTCAAAATTGGCCAAATTCTGTGACGTTCCGTATTATACAGTGAATTGTGGTTTTATGCCTGGATTCCGTGGTTCCTTCCGTGTTGTCTGCATCACAGAAATCATACAGGGCTATAGATATATGGACAGTGTAGCCGGGAAACAAGTTTTAACTGCAAAATGGAGTACAACTACCAAGTGAAATAGCCGTGTGCATGCGTGCTACAATGGTAAATGTAATGTTTTCCTATCATGTGGTAGAGCCATGCATACACAAAAACTACCAGAAATAGTCATAGCACAAAGTCATATTTTATTGAAACACGATTACTGTAGCCTAAGCGTTAAAAGTTACCCAAGATAACTTGTTTAACATTACATGACATGCACCCACCTGAGAGTGACAGAACGTGAGCTGGACACAAGGTCACGGTTTGTTTTATGATTTTCAATGCTTTTGAAGCAGACCGTCACTACTAGCATAGCGCCATCTACAGGTGTGGTGTTAAACAGCAGAGAAGGCTTTGTCATTGAATGGGCATTAGAAAGGACATGAGTGTGTGGATGTGAAATGGACATCAAGTTTCTGACGTCAGTTTGATTTGGATTTTTTTTTTTTTTTTTTACCTGTTTTTTGACGTCAATGCTTGATGTCAATTTCAGTTCTTTTGAACATCATTTGCCCACTGGGACACGTTTCAAAAGGAGATGTGGCAAACCGATGCTGTCCAAGGCCCCAGTTAAGAAAAAATGCTATTTAAACTAGATCAGGCTGACAAAGAATTAATATTATGAAATAAATATCAATCAAACACACAAATCATTGATGTCAATGTGATGTCAATGTGATGTCCATGTGACATCATTTTGACGTCTAAACCATGACATTGATTTGATGTAAACTGAATGTCAAACACATTGGCCTGCGGCGTACATTAAACCAATTTCAGTGCGAGTATTAACTTAATATTTTCACCCAAGAAATTGCTGTCCAAACTGACCTTAAAATGATGTTATTCAGCATCTTGTATTGACTAACATTTGATGTCAAATTGATACTAATTGACATCAAGGTGCCCCCTGGGGAGACTTTTGACAACAAATACATCAAATTATATTCCCATAATCAAATATATAGTGTTATGAAACATATTTATGTTGCATTTAGCATTGTTTATATCCCTGCTGTCCATAACCCTGTCAGAACAGAACTAATTTTTGGGACGCAACCCTTCAGTTTAGAACCTGTTCAAGTGTACAACTTGTGTGAGCAAGAGTTTATTTCGCCATTGTTGTTTTGTGGGTTTTTGTGTTTTGGTCTGATGGGAAAGTCTGGAGTGCAAGTCCCCAACAGATTAGCCTGGTGTCGTTGTAAGAAAAAACGATTTTAAGGAGGACCCATGAGTCATTCTGGAGCCATTTCTCTCTCTGTCTCTCTTTCTCTTTCTTTCATCACACTACTCTTTCCTCCTCTTGTCTTTTCTCTCTTTCACAATCCTCATTTTGTTCACTCTTTTCTGTCTGCCACTTTCCTCTGTACTTCCTGTTTCTATTTCTCACTTTAAACTAAATTTACAAATTAATTTACTTTCTCATTCTCCATTCCGATCCATCATGTCTTGCAAAATTATTTACTCACCCACCTCATGTCTTTCTAAAACTGTATGACTTCATACTGATCACTATTTTCCATGCAGTTACAATAAACAGACTTCTTTCTTCAGAAAAAGGTTGCAAAAAAGTGTCAAAAAGTGGTGCAAATCTTTTGTAATACTCTAAGCCTTCTGAAGTTTTCATTTCATTCCATTGTGTAAAAAATAGGTTGAAATTTAAGTTGTTACTCAAAAACAACTTAAAATCCCACTCTTTTCTTCCTCATGCATCTGATTCCTGAACAAACCATAAATTTGAGTAGGTTAATTTCAGTAAATCAGTTGATTCTGTTCACAAAATCAGTCTGAATGGTTCATTTATGAAATTGACAGATTCTGTTTTAGAATTCAACTCACTGACTTGGTGATTCGGTAGCAGTGATTCTCAAATGAACAGCTGTGAGAAGATTAAAATGTTAATTATCTCGAATAATGATAACTTGAGTTTGTTCCTCTCACTATTCAATTGCATGTCTTCATACAATAGATTCACGAGTGGAGTCGTAAGAACCACTTTTGATTTAAATGTTTATGGTGCATTTGAGTTGTTTTTGAAACTTGAAAGCTCTATTCTCCATTCTATGTAAATGCATGGAAAAGAGCAACCAGCACAGTCTTCAAAATATATATTTTTTTATGTTCCACAGAGGAAAGAAAGTCATACAGGTTTGGAACATAAATGATGACGGAATACTACTGAAAACCAGTTTGGTTATGCCATTTTTCAAGTTTCCAAATGCCATTTCATAATGCATCACTAAAACATCACATTGTGTCCGTAGAGAGGCTGGCTAACAGAGACCACTGCCTCCTACTTTGAGCGCTCATGTTTTTGCCTTCCATCTCTGCTTTTTTCTTACGCATGTCCTCGCCAATGTCTGCTTTTCTTCCCCAGTCTTCTGTTGACCGTTTCCTCTTTTTATGTGTAGCTCCCCTTCCTCCTCTCTCCTTCACAGAGTCAAAAGGGAAGTAGGAGATTTTGGCCATAGCAGACTCAACAGTGCCTTTAGTTCCCTATGTAGTCACAAACCCCTCTCCAGATGATCTAGTAGAGGTTAGTTGACAGTCCAGAGATATTTATCTACCCCACAAAACCTGCAGCCATGTAAGTATCCGTCTACCTGATCTATAGTGAGATTAAAAGTTCATTGTTTTTTAACGAGAATATGGGGGAAGTAACATTATATGTGTCCTTCTTATAATGGTATTAGCAGTAGTTTTTGTAGAAGCACTATTACAGGCATTAATAGTAACATGAATATTAATTAAATATAAATATGAATAAAAGTACAATGTTCTGTCATATTCAAGATCATATGCCAGTTGCTCATTGGGTCATGGACTGATTGACCTTTTAGCTCACATCTATGTGTATCTGATGGTGGCACAGAATTGTGGCAGCTGGCTGAACATCTGGGGTTTAACATCTGGATTTAATCATGATTTGTGGCCGAATCTTAGCAGATCTTTATTTGACATTTTAGACAAGTGATGCATGGTGATTTAGTAATGCTCGATATTGGTTAAGTTCTCAAAATGTATTAGACATACTAGACTTTGATGTAGCAGAGTAGATTTGATTTCATGTCATTTGTATGATATTTTCTGTACAGTATGGATCAGAGGATTGGGTGCCAAAATTGATTCGATGTGAATTTAAAAAAGGCTAATGTGTACATTGATGTAAATAGATCAGCCAACAAAACATTGAAAATACGTTTTACCAAAGCTTTCCAAATATAGAAACTCCAGAAAACATTGGTTGTGAAAATCAGATGTGACCTATGACATTGAGATACAACCTACTGAACAGACTGTACTTCAGTGTTTATTTTTTCTTTTTATATATATATATATATATATATATATATATATATATATATATATATATATATTCATTCTAATTATGTTCTGTATTGCTTCAATATTTGTGAGTGCAGTCTCTGTAATATGATTTTAACATTCCTCATCTAGTCATCACAAACATAAAAGTAACTGAAAAATCATGGAAGTTCACTGGTCAGGAAATATGGGAACACTCCAAAGACCTAATTTTGTGTATGTCAAATTAAGCTATGGAAAGCTGTGAGATCATGAGATGAGATTCCAGCAGCAAGTACTTTCTCTGTCCACAATGAATATGTTTCATGAATATCTCCACAATGAATCATGTTTAATATACAGTTATTTACAGTATTGTTTAAAAGTTTGGGGTCCTTATTTTCTTTTCTTTAAGAAATTACTTTTATTAAGCAAGGATACATTAAATTGATCAAAATTGAATAAATGTAAAAACATTTATAATGTTAAAAAAAGTTCTTGTGAACTTTCTATTCTTCAAAGAATCCTGAAAAAAATACAGTTTCCACAGAAATAGCAGCAGAAATAAAGCAGCACAGCTGTTTTACACATTGATATTAATAAGAAATGTTTCTTGAGCAGCAAATCAGCATATTAGAATGATTTCTGAAGGATCATGTGACACTGAACACTGGAGTACTGATGCTGAAAATTCAGCTATGCATCACAGGAATACAATTTTAAAACATACTGAAATAGAAAACAATTATTTCAAATTGTACTAATATTTCACAATAGTAAATGTGGAGGAGGGGTTTGGAACAATGGGAGGCAAGTCTAACCGTGTTGCATTATTGCATCATATTTAGTTCACAGTGTGAAATATTTTTGTAAGTTTGAGTGTTTTGTAAGGTGATTTTTCCATGATTTATTCATTTATATGATAAAATTCCCATGATGGACTGGCCATCCATCCAGAGTGTTTACTTGCCTTGAATTTATTTAGTTGAAAATGTTTTTATTTTAATCTCTCCCTTAATAATTAAAAAAACCTAACGTTTCACATTCTGCTACCATATGCTCATTTTAGTAGATGATTAAACTTAACATGCCAGCCTGACTAAATTAGCCTAATTCATAAAACACAAAATCATAGATTTAATTGTGAACATTTGCTTGATATGACTAATATAAAGTCTGTTTTTCTTTTTCTCCCTCACCGTTCTCTCTCCCTATCTGTGTGTGTCTTACTGTTGCCCTATTTGTGTGTTCCTGTGCATTCCGGCCCGTGCTATATGTGTTTGTGTGTGAAGGAGAGGTCCGCGGCCTGCGGGGGGATGACATGCATGTGTCCAGGCATTTAACATCATTGAGGATTTTAAGACTAGGCTGCCCTCCGCCAAGCCATGATGGACATTCTGGTAACTGGCCTTTTTCTATCATTGCTGTTTGTGTTTGCGGTGTTTTTTTTTTTGGTGGTTTATTTGCATGTGAGTGGATTGAAGAGTGTTTTGATGTGCTTTCTTCATTTTGGTTACTGTGATGTCCTGATAAGATACTGATGAAAACTGTTCAATGAATCCAGGTCCACACAGAATTGCACTCTTAAAAAATAAAGGCTCAAAATGGGGTCGCAGTGATGCCATAGAAGAACCGTTTGGGTTGCCCAAAGAACCTCTCAGTGAACAGTTCTTAAAAGAAGAACATTTTGAAGAACATTTCAATAATGTTCATGAAGAACATTTCAATAATCTAAAGAACATTTTTCCAATATAAAGAACCTTTTGTGAAATGGAAAGTTTCCGTGGATGTTAAAGGTTCATACCATAGAAACACAGAGACCAATAAAGAACCTTTGCTTTTAGAGTGGAATTGGAATGCCCATAATTCACAAAGTCCCCTTGCTCTCGTGTCGTTTCAAACCTGTATGAACTGTGGAACTTAAAATATATTTTGAGAAAATACAATGAAAGTCAAAGGTCACCAAAATTTGGTTACCAAAATTCTTCAAAATGTCTTATTTCGTGTTCTTCAGAAGAAAACAACGTGAAGGAGAATAAATGATGACACAATTTTTGGTTTAACTCGCCTTTTAAAGGGATCATATGATGCGATTTCAATTTGTGTTACAAGCTGTTCGTGAATAGATAAGATCCCTAAAGTTGCAAAGACTAAAGTCTCAAACCCAAAGAGATATTCTTTATAAAAGTTAAGACTGGTCCACTCTCTCCTAAAACTAAACCTCATAAACACATTTCATTACACCAAATACACAAAATAATGTTATTTTTAGCAACATCATATGACCCCTTTAAATGTTTTGGATAATTTGATAAAAAGATACCAGAGTGCAGCACTTCCAGCTCAGTCTGCTGCACTTTACTAAGTTTAACTTAATTCCAGAGATTTCCCCTTCAAAATCATGGCAGAAATGTGAAACATGTCTGCAGACTACTTCTGGTCCTGGATAAACGCATATATCAGCCAACCTCCTGATGTTTAGCACTATTTGTGTTTTCTATTCTTAACTGACAATGCTTTTTGTGTATAATACTTGAGAGAAGAATTCTGATTGTCGCTGGAGTTGTTTGCAGCATGCAAACTCCTCTTTTGCTCAAGTCTCCTTTCCTCTCGGTTCCTCAACGTTGTTCTCTTCACCTCACCTCTTGCCTAATCTTTTCTCGTCTTCTCACATCCCATCTGGTCTCCTCTGCTTTGCTATCCTCTCCTTTTTCATCTTTTTTTTATTTTCCTCTTGCCTTCTTTCCTTTCCTGTTCCACACACACAAACACACAAATGTATTAGAACCTTAATAAAAACTTAATAAACTTAAAACTTAAAAAAACTTTAAAAAAAAGAATAAACTTATTTTAAGTGAGCCTAAATTAAGCTAATTATAATTACTACATTCCTAAATACATATTTTGACATGTTTGCATTTTAATTTAAGCTCTTGACAGTTTATCACATTTTGAAGATGTTTTGCTATATTTCTGACATTTTCAGACATGTGTAACTTCTCAAATCACACATACACTTCCTTGGCTAGTCCCGGTCTATCAAAGCTCACCGAACAGCAGAAGAGAACAAGAGATCCAGAGATCTTCATCAAGAGACAAAGACTGCTGGAAAGCTGAGACAGAAAGGAGAAGTCAGCAGAGGGAGTGATAAGTCACATGATTCATGGCCAGTCTGCCATGGCATCTGGATAAAGTTAGAGGAAAGCGAGATTTAGATCTAAAAACAGACAAGCAGACAGACGTTCATTCTGTTTGTGTGTGAGGGAGTTTTCCTCGTCTTTAATAGCACAGAGAAGCTTACTCATATCTCCAGCAGTTTATTTAGTCGCACGTCTTTCTGCAGAGCTCCTCCCAGCTCCATAGACTAAAGATTGACTCATATATTTATATATAAAGCCGAACATCAGTGCACATTCTCTCTCTCCCTCCCTCCCCCTCTGCTGGGTTGAGTTTCTTGCCCTCAGGACATCCCTGAGTTTCTCACGCTTGATGCCAGGTTGGGGGTGCTCTGTGCTAGTGATCTCAAGCCTGTTGGTTTTGATACTCCTTTTAGAAAACAACCGGCTATGTCTTTTTTAAAAGGGATGGAGGTGGTGTAGTCTAGTGGATCTGGGCTGCTTTCCAAAAAGCTAAAGGTTCCAGTCTTACAAGGATTGATTCACAGTCACCTTGTTGGTGTGCTGTAGTGATCATGCATGAACTTTGTGGGCTATGTTTGGAACAGAATGCTAGTGTACTGAATACTGCACAGTATACACTGTATACTGAAACGTTCTTTTATTTAGTGGAATCATGTGGTCAAGGTTTAGCTAGTTAGCATGACCCTTTTAGCCCCTGCATCTAGATATAGGGCCCTATGAATGCCGTTTTATTTTTTTCCAAATTCAGCTTTTTCCATAACAACATAAATTTTTCTGGATTCCGTTTTTTTTTTTCCATTTGAAATTTTCTATTCTAAATTCAATTTTATTAATCAAAAGCATGTATACTTAATTGAAATCATGAAACTTACACAATTTAACGACAATTTAAAAACCATACCTCCAACATATTTGATTTATGACAAATGTTGGCTTAATTGCTATGTAAATACAGCCATTAAATTTTAAATTATGTTGCATATAATGTTAAATAAACAATAGACTGTGAAATTAATTATTTCCTGTTTTAAGGTGAGGTCTTATTAACCTTTGTAAAGCGAAATTCCACAGGAGAAATGCAGTTGTTTCAATAGGAATCTGTGTGATCTTGAATTTCTTATGAGGGATGCTGGATGCATGAGGCAAAACACTTTCCCAGATGGATTTCACATCAGATTTAAGTTAGTTAAACTTTAAACATGAGAATTGACCATGCTGAACAATATAAAGCTGCTTAGTTTGAAAATGACCTATAAGTTAGTGGGCAATGGACCTTCTGTGACCACACCACATCAATTTTGCTGAAATTTTATAGGTAAAAAGGTCCATTGTCCATTGTCAGTAGTGTAAGGAAGTGGGAATCGAATTCCTGATGACTTGGTTAGGTGATTAAGAGTCGATTCTTTTTTTTGAGAGACAATAAATTTATTTACCATGCACCGTCGGCTTCATAACTTTGCAGATAGTTTACATTCACAGACAGCTATATTACACATTGCATGAAAGGTCGAAATGGCATAATAGGGGCACTTTAGTAATGCAAGGTTAATCTCAAAATAAACAAAAGACATACTATACATGTTAATGTAGCTACTAAAACAGCTAAATAAACTTTAAAAGTTGATCAATGAAGGTTTTGTCTATTGATTACTCCAGCTCAGGGTAGAACGTCTAGGTTGTCATCTAATAATTACGGTAATTGCGACATGGCATGAACGCATGTTAAAGCTTCTGTTGTATTCTATTCAATGACATCTTTATAGTAATGCATGTGCTAGCAGCTAATCGTTAGAGATACTCTGTTAAACTTTTTAAATTTGGTTTCATACTGAAAAGTGAACTGACGTCACCCAGTTTGCCCAGTCGATAGTTGGATGAGTTTGCAGTGTGAGCGTTTCTGCTCAGCCTCATGCTGTAACCTCCAAACAAATGTGATAGTTTAGTCATGTGATGGAAAAAAAGAGAAGCTACAAATACAGCTCTGTGTTGCTTGAAATGGCTGTAATGTGTGTTTTCAGTGATTTAAGACCAAAACATAGCCAGTTCTTGGTGGGCCGCTGATCTGCTGCGGTTGCTCTTCAATAAAACCACTTCCTCTTCTCATTGTTTCTGTGAGGCAACTCCTTCTATTTTGAACTCTTACTTTTGTAGACCACTAATGCTTTTCTGATTTTTTCACTGTGTTTTGTACATCTTAAGTCCTTGTTTTTGCTTGTAACTAACAAATGTGGAGCGGTTTACTTCTAATGTCACCGGTTAAATTGAATTTTAGTTCTCTTTACATTTTCGTCTCATATATGCGCCCAGACATAAGACACCCTAAAGCTTCAGGACTAGTACAGTTAATGATCGCAAGAATCACATAGTGTATCAGTGATCATGGGATGCCATGTGAGGAGTTCATCCACTATTGAAGGGAAAAGAGGCTGACAGCACTGTTTCTCAATTCCCTTTGGAGTTTCCCAGCAGGAGGTTGAAACACTGTTAGTCTTATTCAGAATTGGTGGATCCGGGAAAGGCCCCTGTAGTCTTAGAGAGCACTTTCTAACGTAATAAAATAAATTTATTTATTCAGTCACCAGCTTAGACTTGTTGTAACTGTAACGGTTACAGTTCACATTTGCCCCGTTCCCCCATAAGCTGCAAGGAGAAGGGGCTGTTGTATTGAGTCACAGAGGAAGCTGGTACATGTTACGGACTGCAACCACGGGCACAGGACGCTTCTGATTTTTAATACCAGCTCTTGAGGTGGCACATGGTAGCTCAGAAGTCACTCAAGTGTCATGTGTCAATGTTATTAGCAAACACTGGTATGACAGAAACTTCAGCTTCTTGTCATGTAAACTTGAGTAAATAGCGGAAAGTTGCTCAAACTTTTTTGTTTTTCTAATGTCAAATAAAGCTATTCTGACCTGCTATTCTGATTATACTTATTACTCAGTAAGATTTTCTGATATACCTATTACTCAGTAAGATTTCTTGAAAAGAAATTAACACATTTATTCAGCAAGGATGCATGCATTTGATCAGAAGTGAGAGTAAAGACATTTATAATCAATTATAAAAGATTTTGATTTCAGATAAATGTTATTTTGTTTCTGTTTACCAAAGATTCATGAAAAAATGTATCATGGTTTCCACAAAAAATATTAAGCAGCACAAGTGTTTTCAGTAGGGATGCACCGATACCACTTTTCCCAGTACTCGCCCGATACCGATACTTTTATTTTTGGTACTTGCCGATACCGAGTACCGATTTT